TCCCCCTCCTCCTCCTCCTCCCCCTCCTCCTCCTCCATCATCATCATCATCATTTGGGCTGTTGTTTTAATTAAGAGCCCCAAGATGGGGGCAGGGTGTGGGGGGCAGGTCTTATTTTAGGGTCCTGGCTATGTTTCTTTGTCTGCTCTATTTCGCATCTCCAGGCGGCCTTGCGAGCCTCCATAGTGGCTCAGGACTGTGCGGTGGCCTCGGCCATCGTCTTCTTGATGGACAGGTTCCTGTATGGACTCGATGTTTCTGGAAAACTCCTGCAGGTGGCCAAGGGCCTGCATAAACTGCAGCCAGCCACACCCATCGCCCCTCAGGTGGTTATTCGCCAGGCCAGGATATCTGTGAACTCAGGTAGGCTGTGTTCTGTGTCCTGGGTCGTCTGGTCCTCATCTGCCCCTGGCTGCAGAGCTACTTGAACTCTGCAGGCGCCCAAGGGCACTGGGGCCTGCGTGCCACCTCTGCCCCGCGTCTCTCCCGCCGCGCCAGCCTTTGCACCCGCCTCTCTGCCGGCACAAAGGCCCTGGCATAAAGGGTTTCAGAGCCAAAAGCAGGGAAGAAAATTGTGAAAGGGTGTGGAAAATACTAATTGGAGCTTTTGTCCCCTAACAAATCTATCCTGCTGCTTTCAAACAGGGGTATCTGAATTGCTATACTTCTGACCAAGAGCCTTTAAAAAGCAGATTAGAATTCTAGTATTTTCTCTTAGCTCTCCTGTCTTCTTTCTGTAGGGCCACTTGACTAAGCTAACAATGAAGCTAACAAACCCACTGAAGCAATTTGAGGGTTGGTATTTTTTTTTCCTTGTCATTCACAACACCGGTACAGTACCTGATTAGGTCTGAAAGTATCTTTTTCTTTCCCTCCTGACACATTGAATGAGATGAAAAATGAGGCTGACAGTCTAACTTAAGATGGAGAGCTGAATGTAGGGGGCTTCGAGGGGAGAGGGGGCGGTAATGTGTCACAGCCAAGTCCACCTGCAAAGAATTCCACAATTACTTAAATTACCAGTACCCACTGGATTTAGAAACGCAGCCTGCATTGCTGTTCTCATTTCCAGAAGTAAAGGCCTCTTCCCCCTCCCAAACACAAAACTTAAGCTCTTTTTTCTATTGCTTGATGTTAGTTACTGCTATTATTTTAATATTCTGGTCTGTAAGACGTTAAATGTTCTTCCTTTCCTTTGAAAAGGAGTATAGTGACTACACTGAGTTGCTGAATAAAGAGAGGAAGAGACAGAAAGAAAAGGACATGGAAAGCCGGGTGCCGGTGGCTCACGCCTGTAATCCTAGCTATTTAGGAGGCTGAGATCCGAGGATCAAGGTTCAAAGCTAGCCTGGGCAGGAAAGTCCATGAAACTCTTATCTCCAATAAACAACCAGAAAACAGGAAGTGGTGCTGTCGCTCAAATGGTAGAGTGCTAGACTTGAGCTGAAGAGCTGAGAGACAGTGCCCAGGCCCAGAATTCAAGCCCCATGACCAACATGAAAGAAAGAAAGAAAGAAGAAAGAGAGAGAAAGAGAGAGAGAGAAAGAAAGAAAAGGAAGGAAGGAAAAAAAAGGAAGGAAGGAAAGAAAAGGAAGGAAGGAAAGAAAGAAAAGGACATGGAAAAAAATGGGCTTGTGAAAGCTTTTTATTTTTTAGGCCCCAGACTGGGACTTGAACTCAATACCTGATGCTTTACAGGCAAGCACTCTACCAACTGAGCCACACCTCCAAACCTGGAAATTATCTTAAGAGCCCTATGTTCACTTCCTTTTAGGTTCTTGCAAATGCGTATCAATTGTTCTCATGTCTTATTATTGGCTTTTCTAGTGCAACTCCGGAGACAGAATTGAACTGAGAAAGAAAATATTTTGTTCCAAATGTTCCTGACAGCAGCAAAGATGTTTGAGGCATGAAGTAACCTAACAACAAATGCACCTGGTGGTGTTGGAGTACAGTGGCATAAGGGACAAATTCTGGGGGTGACACAGATGCGGCTGGCAGCACCATGGTGGGCTAGTGTTGGTTTTGAGCAAGAATTTGAAGCCAGGTTCACACTTGTCATCCTCGCTACTCAGGAGTCTGAAATTTGAGAGATTAAGGTTCAAAACTAACCCAGGCAGGAAAGTCTGTTAGACTCTTCTCTCCAATTAACCAGCAAAAAAACAAGTCAGAAGTGGAGGTGTGGCTCAAGTGGTAGAGCCGAAATCTAAAGAGCGCAAGGCTCTGGGTTTAAGCCCCAGCACTGACACAAACACAAAGAAAGAAGAACGTGGACCACAATCACTGTATTTTCACGCCACTAAATGCACTTGCTCAGATTTCTTTTGGGTTCCTTTGGTTTCCTTCCCTCCTGTCTCCAGCCAAGATGGTAGAGTGTTTTTCCCTCTGAGAAGGAGCAAGCCACGGTATCATCAGGAATGGTGAGATCCTCTGCTCACGGCATCACGCTGAAAGGCAAAGGTCCCGATTCTCATGTTCCAACAGTTGGAGCTCTTCTCCACAAGTATCCCAGCCTCAGAGTTAAGTCTTCCATATGTAAACTGCTGTCCAAAAATCTTATCTGGAGCCTCCAAGTAGATTCGGAGAGGGAGGAGAGGATGGGGACCATGGGAGGAAGCATGGAACATGGAAATAGGGGCTCCATCTCAGCTTTTGGAAGCCTTGAGGTAGAGAGAGGAAGTGTATTAGAAAGCGTTCATAGTAAAAGAGGGCAGTCCATCTCGCCATGGATAAACAGGTTTACTGTAGACGCTGTCTAGGGTTTGGATTCCTTTTCTCCACCAACCAGAGATTAAAAGGGCAGAAAAGTGTTTAAAGCAGACAGTTATTTGAAAACAGAAGAAACTATGAAAGGAACAGGAAAATAGACTCCTTGTGCAAAGAGAGGGTCCTAGGGCCAGAAGTCCACTGTTTCTCACCATGTAGGACACCCTAAAAAAGACAATCTGATATTCATGTTTTTTAACTTGTAAATATATATATATACATATGCAAACTTACACACACATATTGAGAGCGACAGAGCAATTGAGGTGAAAATCAATATCTTTTTGCAAAAGTTGTCGTAATTGGAAGACATTACCCACAAAACAGGTAGAGCATGTAAGTTCTTTTTGTAAAATACAAGAATGTAGCCACCCAAGAGAAAGAGCCGGAAAAGGGAGAAGGACGTTCTGGCACTTTTGAGTGCTGAGAAGAGCTTCTCATTGGCAAGGAAACTTTACCACTGGCATGAATACAACAAAATAACTCTTTAGCAAAATGAAACTAAAAAGACAAAAAGTGAAGAGGATGGAGATGTGGCTCAGTGGGTAGAGGGCCAGCCAATGAGCAAAGAGCATTAGGTATGGAGTTTAAGTTCTGGTCTCAACAAATAAGAAAGAAAGTAGGAGAGAAAGACAGGAAAGAAAGAGAAAGAGAAAGAAAGATGTAAAAATGCAATACTAAAGTATTTCTTATTAGCTTCAAATGGAAGATTATTTTGGCAATGGCCAGCTACCTACCAATCTAACTATGACCTGCCTGCACCCTTGCCACAATCCAAAATACCTTAGAATGCAAAAAAAAAAAAAAATCCTGTTTTTTAATTCCTAAAGCCTGTTTCTCAGGTGTTGCATAGTGGGATGCTAGTACTAATTTTTAAAAATGCTTTTTCTCAGGCTACATATAGTTCCTGTGTTAATATTCTGTCTTTATTTCCTTTAAGAGTTTCTTACTGTGGGTTTTTAAAAATAGTTTCAACAAAGTGTGTTTAAAGGTGGATTGAATGCTTTTTCCCCCTTCAGGTTAGGTAAGTTTCTTGAATGTTAGAGTTTCTTCTGAGTGTGTTTCCCCAGCTCTGAATCTACTTCCTCTTAGAAGTGTTATTGTGATTATGTGGGTTTTTCATTCTCTTTGAGCTTTTTAACTTCTCCTTCCTATTTTCATCTGCTTTATTCTTTCTCTGTCTTTTTCTTTTTTTCCTGCAGAGCTGGGACTCAAACTCATGGTCTGTGTATGCTAGCAGTCAAGCTATTAGCATGAGCTATATCTCTATTCTTTCTCACCATTCTCTTTACCTGCTGTTAAACCTGTTGCAGGAATACATTTCAGATGGACCAGGGTTGAGCAGATTTAACCCAGAAAAATCAACCTTTACGTGCTCAAACTGGATAAAATACATAGTATCACCTCTACCACATAATGTTGGTATAAACAGGTCATGGAACTAGTTCAAGTTCAAGAAGAGGAGAAATACACTCCAAACTCCACCTCTTTATAAAAGAATAGCAAAGTCACATTGCAAAAGATGGAAACGAGCCTAACAACCATCTTAGAAAGTCCCATCTATACAGCTAACTTATCTTTGCAAGTTGAAATAGTGTGCTCAGGGAAGGCCTTCAAAGAAATTTTGGAACCTGGGCACCAGTAAGTGCCTTGCGCCTGTAATCCTATCTTACTCAGGAGGCTGAGATCTGAGAATTTAGGTTCATAGCCAGTCAGCACAGGAAAGTGGATGAGACGCTTATCTGCAATTAACCATGTAAAGATGAAAGTGGAACAGTGGCTTAAGTGGTAGATGATGTGGAGATGAGGCCCAAGAGGCCCCTGGAGCAGCAAGATCACGAGGCCTTAGAAGCACCCGGCAGGCTGGGTTAAAAGAATTTCAGTCACTCATCAAGAGAGCTAGTGATTGGATTTTCTGCCTGTGGAAGACAACTGTCCATTGCCAAAGCCTTCCTATTAAGTTCAGGCGCTCAAAATGAGTGAAAAGGTTTTGCTTTTTGTTTTTTTACTCTAAGCTTCCCCACACTTGTTTTCTAAATTCCTTTGTGATAATTCTCTAAAGAAACCTGGTTGTAGACAACTCTGCACATAGCCTCTTGCTACCCTTGCTCTACTAGTATGGTGTCTAGATACATGCATACACACGCACACATATATACAAGTATTATATGTGTGTGAATGTATGCACATGTCTGTATATAAAATAAACTGCCATTTCAGATACTTTGTAGATGCTTACCTTGCCATCTCCTGAAAATATCATCTCTTTCAGTTTTACATAGGACCATTGATAGTTTTTAAAACAGAATATTTCCAAGGAAAGTTATGGTTTTTGTTAGAATACATCTGTCTTAGAACAGAAACTATTTGTAGAGGCCTGATGGTATGTGCCTCTAATTTCAGTACTCAGGAGCAGAGGCAGAATAGTTACAAGCTGCAGACCAGCTTGGTAAGATCCTGTCTCAAAAACACCAAAAATAAATCTTAAAAAAAAAGTAAGTAAATAAATATGAAAAAATGCATGTTCAGAAATGATTGCATGGCATTTGACCTCTTGGTTTTTTTTCAAATTTTTTATTGTGATTAAGTGATTACATAATTTCACAGTATTGTGGGATAGTGATGCTCAGTTAAAGTCACAAACACATTCTAACTTTCCTCGAGCAAATTGTCTATCACGGTCAATAACATTTATGAGGTCTATGAGCTTTGCGATACAGTTATTTCTTCCACATTGGGTGATATGTACATTTCTTTTGTTTTGCATAGCATCAGCTGTTCCCTCTTTCCCACTTGTTCCCTCCCTCCC